CGCTTGGTAGTCTGGTGCCCTGCTGCTGCCTCTCTACAATCCCAGTGAAAGCCTTGTCTTGCCCCTCGCTTAGGAAGACTGAGGCAAAGAACTCATTGAGGAGTTCAGCCTTGTCCCCCTTGTCCGTCACCAATTGCTTATGCCCATTTAGTAGAGGTCCTATTCCACCCTGGGCCTTCCTTTTACTCCCTATATATCTAAAGAACAATTTTTTGTTATCCTTAACTTGGGATGCCATCCTCAGCCCCATGGTAGCTTTGGTCTGTCTAACTGCCTCCCTACAAGCACAAGCAGAGGAGGTATACTCCTCTTTAGTGATCTCTCCCCGTTTCCACTTTTTATGTGCCCCGCTTTTAGCCCGTAGACTGCTCTGGATTTCTCTGGTCAGTACCACCTGTGCTCAGCCTCCCTCATTTTACCGAGACTTTCCCCAGTTTTCTGTTCTTCTCTGCTCGCACTGCCACTCCCTGCTGGTAATTGATCAGTTCGTGGCTGCATTTGTTGAGCCCTGCTTCCTGCTTCCCTCCTCGGAGTTGGGAATGCCCCTGGCTGTTGCTTGCAGCCAATCCTAGTCTCTTCCAAGCTGGGGTCTTCCTTATGATCACAGGATTTCCCCCCAGATAGTGGCGAGGAGCTTCGGCCCCTTTGGACTCACTGCTGCAGCTGTGTCTTTGGGTGAGTGCCTGACCCACACCATCCTGCCATCCATCTCATGCCTGAAGGCATTCTCTCTGCATTCTGCCTCTGATTTTATCCCCAGGAGCTAAATCCATCGGCCAATCCTGAGTTTGGTGGAGAATTCCTCCTCACCTGGCTGGGTGTCGCCATTAAGAGCCCCCAGGTGTTCGTCCAAATAACAGGGCTCCTGATAGAGACCCTGTTACACCTTACAATCCAGACACCAAGATTGTTAAGGGTCCTCTGGGTCACCAGTGGATTGAAGGCCAGTGGAGCAAACTCCAGGTAGATTACATCAACCTTCCCTGCAGTAGAACAGGGTATAAGTACAGTTTTGTGATAGCAGATCACTTCACCCAATGGACTGAGGCTGTGCCATCTCAGGAATGATGCTCAGGCCACTGCACAGGTCCTGGTGGAGCATGTGTTTAGCAGGCTTTGTTTGCCTAAAGAAATTAACTCTGATCAGAGGCCAAGCTTTATGCAGGAAATGATAAAAGGGGTGTGTCAGGCCGTAGGCATAAAGAAGAAATTGCATAGCCCAGGAGTTCACGCCCAACACCAAAACAATGGATCAGTACATGGAACCAATCTTATACCCACAGTAGTGGCAAGTAGGGGTAGGGTAATGTACAGGGCCACCACCCAGACTGGTGGAAAGCAAGTGCCTGCCTGGAAAGGGCCAATACCTATTGTGAACAAAGCTAGACCTACAATGTATCAAGTGGAAATTGCTGAAGACAAGAAGTGTTTTCAGAAATAGTTCCATGTATCACAATTGAAAAAGTAGGAGGGGACTAATTAACAGGGATCTGGGTTTTCCATTCACCATAGGAAAACGTGGTAAAACCTGAATTTTCTCATTTTAAGGAGAAAAACCCAGATTTTCTCCTTTAAAGGAGAAAAATGCATGAAAAAATGAAATAGTGGATTTCTTCTTGCAAGCTGGCAGAGTTCCAACCTACAAGGGGCTGGGGAGAGTGGTAAGAGGGTGATCAGGCAGGGGGCACCATGTGCATATTAGCACAAAAACATGCACATGGCTTCCAGGCAGCCCGTAGAGCAGCTTCTGCAGGTAAGTCGAACGGGGGCTTGGGGTGATTGAGGCCCACATAGTGAGAGAGGGAGGGAGTTGGGCAGGGATGGAACTAGGGCTGCTGCCCAGTCTGAGCGGTGTGTGTGGCTTGGGGCTCAGGGCTGGGATGCATAGCCACAGGATCTGGGTGGGAAGCAGGTTGGAGTCACAGGCAGTTTGTCTGTGGGGCCAGTGGTGGGGCTGGCTCCCCGCCTCTGTAGGGACACCCAGGGGAGCATGGTGGGGGGTATGTGCCCCCCATATTTGTGCACAGGGATGAGGGGGCAGGCTGCCCATTGTGTGCTCAGGCTCCCCACCCTGCTGTCTTCCCCCTGGGGCATCTGTGGCCCAGACAGCAGGACCCAGTGTGGCAGAGCAGAGTGGGGCATGGAATCTGAATGCTGCTGCCATGAGCACCATGCCACCATGGCAAAGCATCCCCTGTCCACACAGCATCAGCAGAGAGCAGCACAGAGTTGTGCCCCTCACTGCTGCCAGACGGGCAGAGGGCACCTTGCCATGGTGGTGAGGAACTCCCAGCGGCATCAACACACTTCTCCACCCAGTCCTGCTTTGCCCTGCCATACCAGGTCATACCCACTGACCCACAGAGGCCCAGAGGGGAGGGAGGGAGGGCAAGGAGGTTGAGCCTATAGCAGGCAGCACACATCTACCCACCCTTAATGGGGTCCACTCTGGCTGTGTCACCAATGAGGGAGAGGGAGACAGGCTCCACGCTTTGCTCTGTCGCAGCATCCTCTGCCTCCCACATGTGGCAACTGGGGTTTGGGTGATGCTTTGTGGGGGCACTGCAAACCCAGGTTTCATAGTTTCATAGTTTCATAGTTTCAGGGTCGGAAGGGACCTAATAGATCTTCTAGCCTGACCCCCCGCCAGGGTGGGAGAACAACCCAAAAACAAACAAACAAACAAACAAACAAAACCACTCACCCTAAAAAGAAAAACGGGACTCAAATGAGTCCAGCCAGGTAAGTACCCAGCCTCTTCTTAAAGATCCCCAGGGTAGGGGCCAGCACCACCTCCCTTGGAAGTTGGTTCCAGCTCCTAGCCGCCCTGACTGTGAAGTAGTTTTTTCGGATGTCCAATCTGTACCTCCTCTCCATCAACTTGTGCCCATTATTCCTTGTTATGCCAGCAGGGGCTAGGGGAAACAGCGTCTCCCCCAAACCCTTCTGGTTCCCCCTAGTGAGTTTATAGACGGTCACCAGGTCCCCCCTCAGCCTTCTCTTGTGGAGGCTGAATAGGTTCAAGTCCCGCAGTCTCTCACTGTAGGGTCTGCCCTGTTGTCCCCGGATCATGCGGGTGGCCCTCCTCTGGACCCTCTCCATGTTGTCCACATCCCTCCTGAAATGGGGCGCACAGAACTGGACACAATACTCCAGCTGCGGCCTGACCAGCGTCGCATAGAGGGGGAGGATCACCTCCCTGGCTCTACTCGAGATGCACCTGTGGATGCACGACAAGGTCCGGTTAGCCCTGCCAACCATGACCTCGCATTGTCGGCCCATGTTCATCTTGGAGTCAATAATGACACCAAGATCCCTTTCCGCCTCCGTGCTCTCAAGTAGGGAGCTCCCCATCTTATAAGTGTGCTGCTGGTTCCTACTACCCAAGTGCAGCACCCTGCACTTGTCCGTATTGAAACGCATCCTGTTCCTGTCTGCCCACCCCTGTAAC